ACAGTTTGGCAATTTCTTAAAAATTAAATAGTTCAACAATTGCACATCTAGGCATTTATCCCAGGAAAATGAGAACTTATGTCCACACAAAAAACTATTCACAAATATTCATAGCAGCTTTATTTATAATAGCCAAACCTGAAAACAACCAATATTTCCTTTAATAGGTGAATAGTTAAACTGTGATACTATCCATAACACACACTACTCAGCAATGAAAGAAACCAACTATTGATACACACAAAGACTTGGATGGATTTCAAGGGCATTATGCTAAGTGAAAAAAGTCAATCTCAAAAGATCACAAACTATATGAATCCATTCAAATAATATTCTTGGAATGACAAAATTATAAAGATGAATAAGAGAACAGTGGTTGCAAGGGCTTAGAGATGGTGGGGGTGGAGCAGATATAAGTGTGAATATAAAGGGGTAGCATGAGGGAAATCTTTGGGGTAATGGAATAGTTCTGTGTCTTATTGTAGTGGTAGTTATATGAATCTACACATGGGATAAAATGACATAGAACTATACACACACATTGTACCAATGACAATTTGCTGTTTTTGATATAGCAATGTAGCAGGTAACCATTAGAGGAAACTTGGTGAAGGGTACATGGGACTTCTTTCTACTATTTTTCCCGGGGGGGTGTTAGAATTTTGTTCTGAATCCTAACCATTATTGCTTTTATTTTATTTTTTTACTTTTCTTCTTTATACTATTTTTGCAATGTTCTGTGAATCTATCAGTACTTCAAAATAAATTTTTTTTTAAAAAAAGAATGTGAAATAAAGACATTTTCAAACACACAAATGTTGAAATAAGTCATGACCAGTAGGCTAGCACTAATAGAAATGTTAAAAGATGTCTGTGATGATTAATTTTATGTGTCAACTTGACTGGGCCACAGGATACCCAGATATTTTGTCCAACATTATTCTGGGTCTTTCTGTGAGAGTGTTTCTGAATGAGATTAACATTTGAATCAGTAGACTGAGTAAAGTAGATGGCCCTTCATAATGTGAGTGGGCTTCATCCAATCAGTTCAAGGCCTGAACAGAACAAAAAAGGCTAACTTTCCCCTGAGTAAGAGAGAACTCTTCCTGACTGATGGCTTTTGAACTGAGACATTGGCTTGTTCCCGCCTTCCAACTGCAACTGAAACATTGGCTCTTCTTGGGTTTCAAGCCTGCCAGCCTTCGGATTGGAACTGTATCATTGGCTCTACTGGTTCTCAGGCCTTTGGACTCAGACTGGAAGTACAGCTATCCTGAGTACATCAGCTCTCCTGAGTCTTTAGCTTGCCAACTCACCTTGCAGATCTTGAGACTCACCAGCCTCCATAATTGCATGAGCCAATTCCTTATAATAAATCTCTCTCTCTCTCTGTATACAGAGATATATATATATATATATATATATATATATATATATATATATATATATATCTATCTCCTACTGGCTCTGTTTCTCTGGAGAACCCCGACTAACACAATGTTCTTCAAGCAGAAGAAAAATAACATAAGATGGAAATTTGGATGTATACAAAGGAATAAAGATGACTTGAAATGGTAACTACATGTATAAATATACAAAATTTTTTCTTATTATTTACATCTCTTTTAAAAGAAAATTGATGATTTAAACAAAAATAATAAGATAGAATTGTGGATTTTATAACATATGTAAAAGTAAAATGCATGACTATGATAGCATAGATGCCAGGCTGGGAGCTACGATAGCATACTATTATGACATATGAAGGTAGATCAAGATAAAATATATAGTATAAACCCTAAAGAAACCACTAATGAGCCAACAAAAGAAATAAAATCAAATCTTAAAAATTACTCAAATAGTATGTGATGTGACAAGACCTCTCTAATTACTCTTCCTTTTCAAAATTTCCTTGGCTAGTCTCACTGTTTATTCCTCCAGAGGATCCTTAGAATCTTTTCATAATATTACAATATAAATTCTTCAGGAAGTTGGAATAAAAATTATATTGGACTCATAAATTATTTTGAAAAAAAAATAATCCAAAAGGCGGCAGAAAAAGAAGAAAAGGGGCATAAGGCATAGATGGGACAAATAGAAAATAAATAACAAAATGATAGACTCCAACTTAACCATATCAAGAATTGGATCAAATGTAAATATTCTAACCACCCCAATTAAAAGGCAGAGGTTGTCAGATTGGATTAAAAAAAAAGCAAGACCCAACTATACGCAGCTTATAAGAGACACACTTTAAACATAAAGACATAAACAGGAAAAAGGATGAAACAAGATACACCATGCTAACACTAGTCAAAAGAAAGCTGAAGTAACTATATTAATAAAAGACAAAGTAGACTTGAGAGCAAATAGAGTATATCCATACAATGAGATATTACTCAACAATAAGGGAATAAATTATGCATACGTATAACAACATGAATGAATCTCAGAATAATTATGCTGAGTGAAAGAAGCCATACAAAACAAGAGTAGATTTCCTATGATTCCATTTGTATACATTTCTAGTATACATTTCTAGAAAATGCAAACTGATCTATGGTGACAGAAAGCAGATCAGTTGTTATTTAAGGAAGAGTGGGAGAAAGGAGTGACAAAACGGCATGAGGAAACTTTGAGGAGCTATGTATATATTCACTAGCCTGATTGTGGTGATTGTTTCACAGGTACATACATATGTCAAAACTCATCAGATTTTATACTTTAAATATGTGCAGTTTACTGTATATCAATTATACCTCAATAAAACTGTTAAAAGATAATTAAGAAGAGTAATGAATTATAAATCAATGAAAAAATAGGAATATATAAACCCATATTGATAATAAATGAATAAGTCAATAAGTCAATAAATAAATAAATGGGAGAAAGGAGAGCTCTTGCTTACAGTAGAATGCTGAGTGCCAACTGGTAAATGTGGAAGGAGTGCTAAAATTCAAAAATGATCATTTGGCAACCAACCATCATAATTAAGATTGGTTCAAGCAAGAATGCAAATCTAAAGGGAAATTTTAATGAGAAGTAGGGTATGTGCATAATTATTAAGTCTCCCCACCAACTGTTTACTAGTTGCAAGGGAAAAATAGTAAATATACAGTGAATAAATTGGGCAACACCTTTGACCAGGTGATCAATATTAACATCACCAATGAGGAGCACGTGGATATCATGGGCCTCCAGATATAATGCCCTCAGAAGGGACACAATACCACTTATGTAGTACGTCTTCCAGTCACGAATGCATAACTTGAATCTAATCATAAAGAAACATAAGATAAACCTCAAATGAGGAACTTTCAGTTAAAACAAAGTGGGGAGCTACTGTATTCTTCCAAAATGTCAATGACACCAAAGTCAAAGAAAGGCTGTTGAAATAAATGCTCCAGATTACAGGAGACTAAAGAGACATGACACATAAATGCAATACCTGATCCTAGACTAATCCTATATTGCGGAGAAAAAATGCTATAAAGTTCAGTATTGAGGATATATAATATATATTGAGGGTATAATATATATTATATATCCTCAATAATATGGATATATTATGAATTATGTTCCCTAAATAATATGGAGGGAAAGAGTGAATGCACAAAATGTTAATAACAGGTGAATCTGGGTAAAGTATATACAGGTGTTCTTTGAACTATTCTTATTCTTGCAACTTTTCTGTAAGTTTGAAATTATCTCTAAACAAAACTTTTTTTTTTTTTTTTTGTGAGGAAGATCAGCCCTGAGCTAACATCCGTGCTAATCCTCCTCTTTTTGCTGAGGAAGACCGGCTCTGAGCTAACATCTATTGCCAATCCTCCTCCTTTTTTTTCCCCAAAGCCTCAGTAGATAGTTGTATGTCATAGTTGCACATCCTTCTACTTGCTGTATGTGGGACGCGGCCTCAGCATGGCCAGAGAAGCGGTGTGTCGGTGCGCACCCAGGATCCAAACCCAGGCTGCCAGTAGCAGAGCGTGCGCACTTAACCACTAAGCCATGGGGCTGGCTCTAAACAAAACTTTTTAAAGTGCATATTGCCACTGAAATCCTAGTGCACCCAATCAGCTATGTCCAGGATCAATAATTAGGCTATTAAATGTGATATGTCAGGAGCAATGCAGGTGAGCAATTATTGCTATAAAAACTGCAACTTCTGCATCCAGTGAACAAAGAGACATGCTGGGAAGAAGTCATATAGCTAGTATGCAACCTCCTCTGTTCTCTTGGTCCCTGGTTTTCATTTGCACTTGCATCTTAGCAAATACCAAAAAAAGGATGCAACTTTTGAAAATGTTCATGTCTATTAATATTTTTAAATTAAAAAAAAATTAATGTTAAAGAAGTTTTTCAGCCTTAAATAATCCCATCCATATGACATAAATTTCAAGAAAGTATAATTCAAGTAAATGGTCTGTTTGGGCAACTTAATATTCTGGTTAATTGAACTATTTATTTTCATGCTTCCAACCTTGTTGAAAAAAAATCTTTCTAAAATGTATCTGTACATTTAATTGCCTTATTAAAATACATTGATTTTAATTGAATCTCTTTTTAAATGGCCATCAGCCTATCAATGTTCCTTGTCCAGGAATGTAGAGGTATGTATGTGTATGTATGTACATATGTGTGTATATATATATATGTATGTATGTATGTAAGAGTATGAGCTGAAAGTGAACCACTGATGTTGTTTCTTAAACAAAATCCCATTATCTGCCTATTTTATCATCATTTCCTTCTTTATCCTATAAACTCATAGCAGAGAGAACTTTTTCTGTTTTGTACAAAAGAAAACTTTTTCAAAAATGTCTGTTGTCAAATAAGTATATTTTATTTTTCCTTTCTGTGTTGTAGAAGACATTGTAACAATCTGTTGTTAAAAAAAAAACAGGAATACTGAACCAAATGTCTAAACTGGATTTCAAAATGTGAATCAAAGCTTTAAAAAATTCATTAAGCTAATACTCAAAAGTAAAAACCTCTTATACCTTGTTTGCTAGGTTTATAGCGCTGAGAGCCTTATCATAATATTCTCTGTCGTCCCAATCCAGATAAGCAGTGGCTAGTAACCGTAGAACTTTAGCCTATAATTAAAAATAGAAAAAGCACAGAGCTGGGGGTTAAATTGCAATACAACAGCTGACTAGCACTTACACAGTGACAGGCATCTTCTCAAACATAAGTAGTCATTATGAAATAGCATTTCCTTAAGTAACCACATAGTCTTGGGCTATGTCTCATCATTATGCTACCCACATCAAATACTATTTAACAATTTTATAGTAATAGCTTATTTAAATTTAATATAATTGTGTTAATATAATTATTTTCTTAACAATGTTTTAGCACTAAAGTACTTTATCATCCCCACTTTAAAAATAAAGGAGGGCCGGCCAGGTGGCATAGTGGTTAAGCACATGTGCTTCGCTGCGGCGGCCCGGGGTTCGGATTCCGGGCACACACCAATGGACCGCTTGTCAAGCCATGCTGTGGCGGTGCCCCATATAAAGTGGAGGAAGACGGGCACAGATGTTAGCCCAGGGACAATCTTCCTCAGCAAAAGGAGGAGGATTGGCGACAGATGTTAGCTCAGGACTAATCTTCCTCACAAAAAAATAAAAAATAAAAAAAATAAAGGAAACTAAGTCACAGCAATATTTAATTTAATCATCTTAATACTTACTGTATATGTAGCATTGTATTAGGCTTCTATCAAAAAAGATAAATAGAAACACATAATCCCTCTCTCAAAGACTTTATAGCCTAGTTGAGATTAACCAATTAGACCAAGGGCACACATACCACCATTTCAGTAGGAACAGATATACTTTCCTATAGAGAAGATTTCTCCCAACTCAGCTAAGTTTTAAAATTAATAATGTATTACTGAATTAAGTTAGTTTCCCAGCCAGGTCTACATTGACAAGGGGAGTAACTCTAGTCAGCATGGACACATTTAACTACAGATTCACATATTGAAAGAAGGAGCCCTATTTCAATGAAGAATCTGCCTCTAAGTATAACGAGGACAGTAGGACCAGGCAAACGTTATCTTCTAACCTTTAAAAAAATATGTTAAGCACATTAGGGCTTGTGAATCTAGAGAAATGACAGGGTGTCATATCTCTGAGTTTCTTAATTCAAAAACTAAGATGGATCAAATAAGATGTGTATAATGCATTTAATATCATTTTTAGTATTGTAGAACAACTCTCAAACTTATAAACTCCCTCAGAGGACTTTTATGGAGTAAATATGACATCTCTGAGAAATACTGTAGCTATTTTGTAATAGTAAAAGGGTCAAATAGAAAGATATAACAAAATGGATGAATCTCAAAACTATTATGGTAAGCAAAAGAAGCCCGACATAAAACAGTACATACTGTATGATTCCACTTATACAAAGTTCAAGAAAAGCTGAAAATAAAGAGTAGAAATAGAAGTCAGAAGAGTGGTTTTATCTTGGGGGTAGGAATGGCTATTAACTGCAAAGGGGCCAAGGAAACTTTTGAAGGTGATGGAAATTTCTGTATCTTGATCTGTGTGGTAGTTACAAGACCATATAAATATATTAAAATTCATCAGGCTGTACACTTCAGATTTGTGCAATTTAGTATACAGTCATGCCCCGCATAACAACATTTTGGTTGATGACAGACCACATATACAGCGGTGCTCCCATAAGATTAGTACCATATAGCCTAGGTGTATAGTAAGCTATACCATCTAGGTTTGTGTAAGTACACTCTATGGTGCTCACACAACAATGAAATCCCCTAATGACACATTTCTCAGAACGTATCCCCATCGTTAAGTGATGCATGACTGTATATAAATTATACCTGTATAATTTATATACAGCTAGCATGAAAGAAAAACTACTCCATAAACTACTTCATAATCTTACCTCTCCATACTTCGCAATATGAATATTGCATTTCAATCATACTTAAATCCTGTCTTCTATCCTCATTTCCTCCTCCAGACATCTTCTCATCTAGATTCTTTGCCTGGTATCCCCTTTTCCCTTCCTTTTAACTGTATAGACTCCATCTACTTTTCAAGGCCTTTCTGCCAGAAGGCTTCTTCAACTACTCTAGTCCCTTGACATTCCCCTTTTGTGCATGCCCTTCTACATACTTCAGGTCAGTACCACACAGTTTATCATTTATTTTTCCCAAACATTTTCGCTTGCACCAGTTTTTTAAATCTATTTTTGGGGGTCGGCCTGCTGGCATAGTGGTTAAGTTCACATGCTCTGCTTTGGTGGCCCGTGGTTCGTGGGTTCAGATCCCAGGCGCAGACCTACACACTGCTCATCAAGCCATGCTGTGGGAGCGTCCCACATACAAAATAGAGGAAGACTGGCACAGATGTTAGCTCAGGTACAATCTTCCTCAAGCAAAAAGAGGGAGAATGGCAACAGATGTTAGCTCAGGGCCAGTCTTCCTCACTGAAAAAAAAAATCTATTTTTAAATTTTCAGTGAAGTATAAAATACATACAAAAAAGTTCAAAAATCTCAAGAGTACAGCTCTGAATTTTCACAAAGTAAACATGTATGCTAACAACATAGAAATCAAGAAACAGAGCATTAACAGCAACAGGCTCACCTCATGCTTCTTTTTCAGACATTATTCCAAACAAGGATAACCAATTACCTGACTTCCAACACCATATATTAGTTCTACCTGCTTTTGGCATTTACATTTATGGAATCATACAGTATGTACTACTATGTATCTTACTTTCTTTATTCAACATTATATGTGAGAATATTCATATCGTTGCAATTATTTTTTTTTGTTGTTAATTTTTTGTTTATTGCAGAAACATTGGTTTATAACATTGTAAAAGTTTCAGGTGTACATCATTGTACTTCTATTTCTGCATAGATTACATCAAGTTCACCACCAAAATACTAATTACAACCCATCACCACACACATGTGCCAAATTATCCCTTTC